GACGTCAAAATTAGAACATTTCCACGAAAAACAAAAAAAAACATGGTTTCTTTGTTTAAACCGGTGAATTTTTAAATTTGACAATAAAATAACTTCGAAAATGATAGAGAATTCATAAAACACATAATTTTAGATACCTATTCATTATTACTGTCTATATTACTACTTATAAACGTTTTTATTTTATTTATTTATTTTTTAACATAATAAATCACAAAATATAATTATAATATATTTATATGTAATAACTTAAAAAGCGTATCGTTTATTAATTATAAATATTCATTTTATAATAGTTCTAGTGAAATAATGTACATTTTATTTTATTTTTATTGCAAAAAAAAAAATTAAAACACATCGATAATGATATTTTGAACACCATCGATGTTTCCTCACATTTTCTGATGAAAAAAGTATATTTTTTCACTAATTTTTAAGATTATAGTAACAACTGATGCAGGTCAAGTCATAAAGGTTTAACCAAATACTTTCAGATTCGATTTAACTTTATGAAATTATAACGACGTTTAAAAAGAATAAGGATTACAGATTGAAAATAATTATATTTTATTACTAACAGACAGTAATCTTAGTGAAACAAGTAAATAAAACTTGTGTTTTTCCGAGAGGTCACCTTATAAGGGTACCAAATGAACCCAACTTTTATTTAATTTTAAACTTCAGTTCATTTAACGGTATTATGATTGTTTATTTATTTAGATTAGAGCGGAAATAAAGAATGGTTATACACTGTTTAAAAAATAATATAAAAGTTTAGTTCTTATCTAGGTAGACAAAATTTAAATTTAAAAACAATTAAAAGGAGGGTTCAATATTTAATGTAATTTTTTATTTATTATTTTGGTTTGAGCTATTTTTCGAAACAAATAACTACAGAACCCTATTTTCTTTATGTTCAATACAATTCTTAAAACTAAATTTGAGAGCATGTCTAGATATAGGAGATATTAGTACATATCTAGTAGTAGAAAATTTTCGAACATTATACGTTTAAAAATAATTTTAAATATATTTTAACCAACTTCGAGCGGACCATGCCAGTTTAAATTAATACGAATTTATCTTTAATGATGACTGCTAAAAAGTTGTAAGAAATCAATTTTCCGGAGGATATCGATATCCGGAGGGTTTTGTTTAAATCACAGTATTAGTAACTTTTGATTTAAAAACAACTATTTTTGTGTACAAAAAAGAAAAAAGATTCGAAGCAAAACAAGTTTCATAAATGATTATATTTGTTTTAATTAAGCAGAATGACGGTAAAAAGTACCAAGAAAAAATTATCAACCATCAGCTCTAACCAAGCAATTTTACAAAACCTACAAATCTTGCGAAATTCCACAAATTAACTAGGTTTTCAATTGAACTATTTACTAAAAACAGTACATGTTCATTCTACCAACTAAAAATACTCTCACAAACTACTCAAGGTATCAATCAAACAGTTTATCTAGTTTTTGGAGCTATAAAAAAAAATTATTTTTTAGTTGATGTGGCAGGTTTTCCATTATTCGGCCCACTGTGCGGCGATGTGACCAATTCAAATAAACTATTAAATAGAATACACCAACACAGAAGATAATAAGAACCAGAGTGGATCTGCACAGATACTAGACAGGACTACGTAGATAAGTAAGGAAGAGTTATTTGGGAACAAAAACAAACTTTAAGAAAACTAATTGAGAGTTATCAGAAAAGGAACGATCTAATAGGTAATAATGTATTATACAATAAAAGTGAGACTTGAAATATTATTAATAGAAACCTCTTTTGTTTTATAAAACTATTAATTATCTGAACCATAAAAAGTTAAAAAATGAACAACAAGCAACCAAACGAATGCCCAAAATACTTATATAATTATATTATATTACATGAAATATATGTTATTTCAAATCAGGATTTAATCATGGGGAGAGATTTTTTTTTCAGCGGTAATTAATTCGAGGAAAAATAAAAAGATTATGTCAAATGATATTTCAATGGTTAATGATATTTACTGAAAGCCTGTTAATAAATTTTAAAAAGTAATTACAGGAGTAATTATTCTTTTATGAATAGATTATTTTTTCTTGATACATGCTTACATTTGGTAGTTTAAGTGCGTTATAATTTAAAAAGAGCAGATATTGCAATTCTTTATAAGTTCATAGCTAAGATCAGTTACAGAAACAAATATGAACTAATGAAAAAATAACCAATTTTTTTATTTTCCGAGGTTTCTCCCCTAAGCATACCGGTTTAGTCCGTTGTACAGACCCATTTTTATAAAATTATTAAAATTCATCTAAAACTTCGTAAAGTAGTTTCATCTCATCGTAAACTAAAACTTTTTTATTTACGAAAATTCTCGTAACAGGGAGATCGGCAAACATTGTCGATTTAATTAAGTATTAAGAAATCTTTAACACCTATTTGCTTTCCGCTTGAATCGTAAGATAATGTTACTAGAAAATCGAGGGAAAAGGTAGCCTATAAAAATACTGGGTCATTTGGCGAGGCCTCCATTTCCAACATGTCAAACAACGAGCATATAAATGCCAATTGATTTAATATTTTTGTAGGCCACCTTCTTTTTTTTTTTTTCAATTTTATAATCGAATTTACTTATGATTCAAGTGGAAACCATATGGTTATTTATGAGCATTTACTGCCTAATTAAATTGATTAATATAACTATAAAATGCTCCATTTCTGAGAATTTTCGTAGATAAAATATTTGTAGGTTACCATGACATGAAGCCATTCACGAGGTTTTAGACGGATGTTAATAATTTGATAAAAAGAGGTCTGTACCACGGACTATTGGATTCGCCAGTAGAATTACATAACGTTGCTGAAATATACAAAAAGCACGTTCAATCAGAAGATGAAGCACATTTCCAAGGTTAATATTATGAGCTGTGCAATAATTTTGATTCTCTTTAACATAAAGCTAAGTCATAACTTACAATCAGCAAATTAGACACTGTGAATGGTTATAGTTTTAATGTTTGTGTCAATAATGCTGTGGTCAAATTAGAAATTCAAAGCAACTGTCCACTATGTAGTGAATAATTAAACGAACGAATGATCACAGAATGCGGGGGAATTATTACTTCGTCTATGGGAGTGATTTTAATAAATCAATTGTGTTATGAATTATATCAACTATTTGAAATCCATTGTCTTAGACATAGAAGAGATAATTTTCTAAGTCCTAAGTCAAGGCCGAGGATTAAAAAAAAAACAACTAAGTATTAAAAATAAAAAGTAAAAACATAATTAAACAATTTTTTTTTAAACACTTCAATAGTTAGATGATAAACATTATATTTCCGATCAAAAGTAGATCGATGCAATGATTTTGAAAGTTGGTAATAAGTGTTTGTTTCATAACAGATATGGTACACTCCTCAGTATAAAATTTCGTGGCTAATACGGCAGCTTCCTCTGTTTCGAAATCATAGTTAGCACGAGATGAGTCAAAGGTAATTTTTTACTAAACCAGTATGATTACGGTGACCTGAATTCCTTAAATCGTTGACTTCAGGTCGTAAGAGATACGGATGAATAGATGTAGCAGAAATAATACATGAAATTGCTGAAATTTCACATAATCTTGAATGCATGAGTGGGTATTATATTTGTATTCATATATGTATACATTTGTGGTTGGCTACATTATTTGTAGAATGAATAATACTTGATATTACATTATACTATAGTAATAAGACATAGTATCAACTGTATGAAAATTAAACTTAAAAATAAATTTCATTCAATACTGCGTTATTTCAAAATAAAAAATCAAACCATAGCTATAGTTAAATTATTGAAGAAAGTTAGAAGACTGTTCTACGAATCATGGATGGAAAATAGTCAGCATGCAGACAGTTGATTTTTGTTCTTGCCAACTTTAGTTCAGTACATGAACTTTAGTGTAGATAACATGTCTGATGATGACCCACAAGCTTGAGTTGCAACAATAGCAACAATAAAAATCTTAAATTATCTGCGTTCTGTTTATTTATCATCCATGATATAGTTAATATATCATATTAACAAACTAATAAATTAATTTTTAAAATATACCTTTAAAATTCAGTTTTAAAAAAAAAATTATTTTGTACTAAAGAATAATATTGGATAATACTAAAATGATACAATTACAATAAAGAAATAATGAATGAGGTGAAAAATAAGTTTTAAAAGGATCTATGAAACCATTATTTAACATAAAATAACTGTTTTATGAATTAGTATATTGTCTGAAAAAAATTCAATTTTCTTTTCAATATTTCAATTTTGTTATTTGGGATCCATAATTGGATGTAATGATAGAACAGAGACAGAAATAAAAAAAATGATCACAGGTGGTAAAAAAAAAAAACAGTGAGAATGCTTAATATTTACACTGGATCAGCAATCTAATAAAAACAAAAAAGGTAATAAACAAAGCTTTAGTGAAAAGCTTAATGTTATATGGTTCAGAGACACGAGCCCTCAGTATGACCCAGGGAAAAAAAATGTTTTTCAATTGAAATGGATTTTTGGATAACAGTTAGGATATCGAGGATCTAAAAATGAGAAACGTCAAATGGAAAAAACTGGAAATAAAACAAAATATTCTAGAGTTGATGAAAGAAAGGAGAATAAGACGGTACAGCCATGTGAGACGAGTGGGTGACGATAGATTTAATTCAGGATTGGGAAGGAGAGGAAGACCCCTAGTTAGATGGAGGGGTAGAGTGGGGGAGAGTATGGCTGGTAGAGGGTTGTCTTTATATAAAAAAAATATATAAAGGAGTACTTGTACTTGAAACCTTTTGAAGTGCCTCTACACATAGTTGCAAATAGGGTCTCGTCTTTTACGAAGGTTGTTTTTAGAAACAACTATTAAATAGAAATCTGTTTTTCTTTAACCCTTAAATCCAGACCTAAGTTAACCTCTAACCTAAGTTCTACAATGCTGTATTGGTAGACAGTAGCAGTCTCACCTCATAGAATATCCAGGCGGAGAAGAGAGTCTGGGCTAAATTGTAAAAGACTAGAATGTTCCTGAGCTTGAAGGGCTTCCTGTTGGCCATGATGGCAGGCCCCGCCACCCTCGAGAAGTAGGCGTAGCTAAGGCACACGGCAAGTGTCGGCCAGGGTGAGGACATCATCGGCCAATCGGCAGTCCGAGGGTCTGCAACACCAACATGCCAATTGTTACATTATTACATATAAAACAATTCAAAATTAGCAGTTTGATTATTAATACAAGTAAAACCTAAAAAAAGAGGTAACTAACTTTAATTGATATAAAATAATTAAATCAGAAAACAAGTCTTATTCCTAAAAATTACTCAATAGACAGAAATGGCAATATTTATGCAATCATTCCCCCTTTCCAAACTAATGTTCTCTTACTATAATGCGCGAAAACTTCAAATTGTTAAAATATACTAATTAGGACGGTTATAGTTAATACCCAACACTCGAAATAAGAAAAGTCGCATTAACTATGACTGAACGATAGTAACCATTTGGGTAATTGAAGGTACAACTTCCTTACTTTCTTTGGGAGTTCGTTTATGATCAGTCTGAACACTAGCGAATCCAGAATTTAATTTTGGGGGGGCTTCAGCCCGAAACCTTTTTTTTTCATAAAAATAATGATAATTACTTAGGAAAAACAGAAAGAAACTAACTACCTATATGAAATGGTGTTTAAGTGATTCCTTAAGTCCTTTTAAATGTAATTACACGAACAATAATACTTTAAGAGGTATTTTTTTAATTTTTTTCCCATAAAACATGGTTATATTTTACTATTTTGGGGGGGCTTCAGCCCGAAAGCCTCCCCCCCCCCCGTAGATCCACCCGTGAGTCTGACCGAGCAAATGGTTATGTAAGTATCGTTAAACTAAAATTTCTAAGCTAGAAAACACTGCAACTTCGTGTTAAGAATTAGCAGAAGTCTCTCACACCAAGAAAGAAAGAAAAGTCTCCCTTTCATATAAATTTTATTGCTCTCATCTTCTTAAAAACAGCGCTAGTGAAGATAGAATTCGAAAAGTTGCAGTTCATATACTACTAGATTTGCAATAGTCTGTTCTATATTTTAGCTTGGTTCCTTGCTTCGAAAATTCCTTCAACTTATACCTCACAAAATTTTGGTCCCAAACAAAAATTAATAATCCTTTCTAAATTTGCCCCCTAAAACTTTAGATAATCCTCAACAATATCTCTGTCGATATTTACGAATGTGAAATTCAGTATTATATTCACATTAAATAGGAGGACAATAAGAACCAAGATCGGAGAGCTTTCTAAAGTTTTTCCTGAGATTTTTCTTATTGAAACTGAAAATAAGCCAGGTTGTTTTTAACGATTAAATAGAATCTATGAGAATTTTATCGGTAAGTTTACTTGCGAATGTTCATTAATATCTCAATGACTCAATGACTTCTCTACAGTTTTAATCTCATGGTTTTGATAGGAATAACAGTTATAGATATTAAAGTCCAATATGTGATAGAGAGAGAATTCATTAATATTGAGAATTCTGTAATTCAAAAAGAACAAATTTAGAGTTGCTTAAATCATGCAAAGATGCAATGATTGATATCAGCTGCGGTTACCCACCCACAGATTACGAAATGATGACACGCTGCTGCATATACTATGGAGGTTGAATACTATATACAAGGAATGGTATTGAGGGATCTTAATATTGATAACAGACTAATTTTAATGTAGTATACTAGTTTGGTTAAGAGGACCAAAAATTCAAAATACTGTAAGTCAGTCGACCAAAAGTTGATGGGATGAAAACGAAAGATTTTAGGAGATGCTAAAAACAGCAGTTATGGCAGGAGGGATGTAACAATCAAAATTGGTGTCCAGAGAGTGTATTTCGAAACTCTGTACGGATTCAGACACTCTGTCGCAGCTCGTCTAGGGTTTGTAGTGACCTTGGGGGCTGATCCATTACAAACACTATATGGATTTACACATCTCAGCGCAGCCTACCCGCTAGAGAACTTAAAACATTTAAAAATTAATGTTTCATACATATAAACAAAACTATTAATTTTGTCTAATTATATTTAGTTTTAAATAATTTTCACTCGCAAAGAACACTGTCTAAAGGCAAGAGGAATAAGTGCTAAGTATAAGTAAATGTAAAAAATAATAATTTAAATATATATATATTAAATAGCAATAGTTATTAAAATAAGAAAATATTTTTCTAACAAATTATTGTCTGGCAAAATTGGACTATTATAAAGGTTTTGTGTGTAGGTAATGTAGCTAACCTTAAAGAAAACATTGATGAATTTCAGTCATATTAATAAATGCAAAGATTCATTAACACCATCAAAATAACACAAACTATATTTATTAGGGCGGTAGGCAATCAGTGTATCTAAACCAGATAACTTCAGTCACTGAGCTCTAAATAAAAACTGAGATTAGAAAGCACATGTATTTAAACTATGAATAAATGAGAATTGTACTAAATAGCAAAAATTATAGGAATCAAATCTCTTTATTTTCTTCCCTTGTAAAATTTACCAAAATACAGCTACGAGCTTTTCAATACGTTATCAAAATAAGTCACATTAATTGTAAATGGATAATGTTGTGATTTCATAGAGGAAAAATTCGTCAAGTTAATCACTAATTTAACTTTCTAAAATTATACTTAATGATGGAATAAATCGACGATATACTTTATTATCGGCTCTAAAGTAATAAAACTTCAGTAAATATATTTAAGATTATAAACATATGTTTTACTCATCCATGAAATATTTTGGCATTCAATTTATTCTTTAACACAAGTACTTTAATGATTGAATAATTGGAATAACTCAGGCAACTAATATACTTAATCTTCGTCTTCACTCATTATATTCTGTACACTGTTCCTAACATATTTGCTATATATTACAATGGTCCCACCTAACTTTCTTTTGTTTTGGTGTCTGTCTATCTATAAAATATTGATTTATGTTAAGTATGTAATACTTCAACTTATTGCTCCACCTTACCTTTATTATATTTTTTTTTTAAATCATAATAAAAATTATTATTAATAAAATTACATTTATTTTATATGATCGCCCTGTACTAAATGTATTTATGTAAATATTATAATATGTATGTTCTACAATAAAGAACTATTAAATAAAATTTAAAAAACAAAAACAATACAACAGCTCAAATTACTAATTAACAATTGTGTGGTTTTATTATAAAAATTAAAATTGAGATGCAAATTGTACCATTGATGCTCGTATTATCTAATAATGACATATATAAAATAAAGCAATGTTAAAAATTAAACATATGCTACCCCGCTCCAGGAAACCTGACCTCTATTAATAATTTAACTTGGTGCAGTGGTAGGGTAAATAAATACCACACTCCAAACGGAATTCAGACACTTTCAGATGTTGACATGCAGTCCCCCTCCTCCTCCCCCCCCCACTACTACACCAACTTTAAAAATACATAGATATCCATTTCCTTATCAATATATCAAAGTGTTAAGTATATATGAAAGTACATTCCATTAGGGTGGATTGGATTTCCCGATTACTGCAGTCAGTTTTTTTTTTAATTCATTTTATTTTTTATTTTAACCGTTTTAGTTTTTTTTAAATATTGGCAATTTATATTCAACACATATGATCAAGATTTTACGTATAATATGATACGGAACCAATTCAAATTTAAGAATATTTAAAATATATTAAAATATTCATTCCGTAGATTTACACATCCGTAATCAGCCCTGATGATGGCCTGAAATTCAGGTCGAAACGTCGACCAAATTACAAAATAAGTATTATCATTTATTTTGCCTTTTTATTTGACTTATCACCCCAACTATTCTTCTCCTTATTAAAATATTTGTTTTTCAATAGTTTTAGCTCAAATTGTTTCAAAGATCACACAGAGTCATTTGAATCATTTAACTTGAAAATCGGCCAAGTCGTTCGCTCAATATAATATCGTCAATATAACTCGTTACATACCTTTTAACACAGATTGGGAACATTTTATATGATGACTTGTCAGCGCTTTGAGTATAAATTGTTTCAAAACACTCATGGAATCTCACTGGAAAATTTAGACCATTAAACATCAATAAGAGTCCAGCTATTCACTCAAAAAATCGTTACATACCTTTCAGCGAACTGATTAAAGATGTGTTATTAAGTAAGATGCCACCAGCATCTTTAGCTCAAATTATTCCAAAACGCTCGCGTTGTCTTACCGAATTTGCTAAGCCATCAAACTTAAAATTCAATCCAGCTGTTCATTCAAAAAATCGTTACATACTTTTCAGGAAATTGATTAAACACATTGCATTTAATAAAGGGTCAAATCTTTTCAAAAAACTCACGAGGTTTCACCGAAAAACTTGAGACATAAAAATTAAAAATCGATCAAGCCGTTCGCATAAAAAAATGTTTCACAGTTTTTAACGGACAACTTAAATACAAAATCCTCGTATCTCTTAGATCAGTCAGGTAATAAAGTTATTTTAAAGGCTAATTATGAATAAATATTTTCAACATAAAGCTGTTATCTGCAATAATCAGACTGAAGAGCAGACGTACACAACTAAATTGGTTTAATTTATTAAAAAAATCGTAGGCACAGTACCAACTGGATATTGCTGTGGCCGGTTATGGAATAAAGGAAACATATGTATGGAGACGTCTATAGGCGTAGTAACGTTTTGTTTTCAATGCCCCAAGAGAACGGATACCCAACATAATTTACCATGAGGCTCTTATGTACTCTTAAAAACCTTTTCAATGGATTTTAGACCTTTATTATCTAATATCACTTGTTATCAATAAATTAAAAAAAATAAACATTGTAAAAATTAAAAAAGGCTAAGAACAGCTATATAAAGCCGAGATTCCTGCATAAGGTTGAACTAATTAGATGTATATAGACATCAGTAATATTACAAGCGATGAAATCAATTCATATCATTAACAGGAGTAGAAAATTTGCGAAACGATTTAAAAGTTTTTCTTCGTTGAATTGGATCTAGACAACTGATTTGAGCAGAATTTAGGAAAAGAAGCTATGCCACGATTAATGAAATGTATTAATGAGGTGTCTAGAATTTTTTTTTTGTATAATATACTGCAATGTCTTTTTATCTTTTGTTTT